TATTGGCACTTACTGTTGGCTTGGTGGACATGTTGTTTGCTGACAAAAGGATCCGTCCTGAACGTACAGTGCCTGCTGTGGATGGACTACTGGCAGTTGTGGACGCGCAAAGAACACTGGTCAGGGACGTTGTGGGTGCGCACTGTGCTGCATTGCTCCCATCTGCTGATGCATCACCCTTGCAGCCAATTGGTCGTACCACAGTCTGCAGTCGATTTGTCACTCTTGGTGCTGGCTTCAGGTCGCGTCTTCCTGCTGGTTCAGTGGTTGCATTAGTCAGGGTAACTGCTGCAGGTGTTGCTGATGCTGTTGGCAGGGCTAATATAGCATCCAACACAGCATCACCATCACCATCTTTCCCATCGCTGACTTGAGCATACGGACCACACTGTTGTGGAGTAGGCTGAACCTGCTGGATTGGTGAAGCAGCTGGAGCAGAGTTACAGGGGCCAGGATCAGACTGAGCCGGCACGCTTTTCTGCTCACCACTGCTGCTATTGCTGAGTGCAGTAGTAACGTTATCCGCAACAGTAGGCAGATCCTGGATCCTTGCCCTTGCGATGTACTGCTGAATGGGTACGGGTGAAATGTCCGTGGCGTTAACTAGTCGTTGCTGGGAGGTAGCATTGTAGCTGGATTTCACCCTCTCTGCACTAGCATTAGCACTACGTTGGAATTCAGCGATAGTGGCACTAGAAAGGTGGTGTGCACTGATGTTGAGGCGAGTGTGCACAGGAATAGAGAGCAAGTTCTTTGCCAGCGCGTTCAGATCGATGCCAATGTCGGTCTCTGGCAATATCGCGTCTTGACGGTGCTGGTGCAGAGCCGTATTGAGAGGTTGATGTAGCAGCCCTGAAAACTGTTTGGCATCGTCTTGTTGCCTCTGGTATTTCCTCTGTATTATTTCCTCATCAAACTGATCATCCCGTGACGGCTCCGGCTCGTAATACCTGTAGGCATTGCTGTCAAGCTCTTCTGCGCGCTGTGGTGCTTGGTGTGAAATTCTGGCCTTGGATCCTTTGCGATAACTTCCTCCACCTCTCTTTCCTCGACCTCGGCCAGCATCTCTGGCTCCTGGTTTGGCAATCATTGCTCTCGACAAGAGCGAGCAGCTGCTTCTTAGCTTAGGTAACACTGCAACTGGCAAAGTGAACAAGAAACTACTGAAGTAACTGAAACGTGTACACAGACAGGTCAAGTTAGTTAGTTATGGTACAGGGAAGCCTCCTTTCATACATTTATATAGTACGCAGCTGGCACCTCTTTGCACCATGGCTGGTATACTCGGCACAGTAAGGCTGTTCATCCAACCCTTGACGCTATCGCGGCGCGGGCTGGATTCAGTGGTCCTGCCCTCGTGTTCGTGGGGGATCCTGTACGCACCACTGCCACTGGTACACCCTCAAAGAAAGAAAATGAACTACGAAAAGTAATTACATCATGTCACCTAGGAATGTCAAACTGTGATTACGTCACTGGAAGCCGTTGAGCTTATCAAGAGGCTAATTCAAACGCAGGGTTCACAGTTGCGTAGAAGAGCGTCAAGTAGATGGGGGCGGCGGCGCACGTGCTCCAAAATGCCAGCTTGGCCAATCAGCAGTCAGCATTTCGTCGTATGTTTGCTCGAAGTAGGGGGTGTTTGAAGGAGTGAACATGAACAGCACTTCAGCTAGGTCTACGAGGCTGAGACTTGGCCATGGCCCAGGCACATGCACAGAAGACAGGTGTTCCAAAAGATTTACCGAAACAAATTTTCATTACTCACACGGGTATGCCAGAGCATGCGCGTAAACTTCGTGAGATAAAGTACCGTATTGGAAAGGAGTATCCAAAACACGTCTCGGTAAATTTCTTTGCCAGGGTCACCTGAAAATTTTAAGCCATAAATTAATTGTCCAAACCGACCAAGGGGGAGATGCTCTGTACTGGTTTTAGTAACCCCGAGTCCCAGCGGCGCGCAACTGCTTGCGCGAAAATGTGTCAACAACAAGAAAAACGCATGCATGCAGCAGAACAGCAACGGGTGCCGCGCCGTCGAAGAGAAAATCATTGTGCACAGACTGTCCAGTGTTCTCTCCTCAGTTCGCCCGCGGCGTTGTTTGCTGTGCTTTCATTCTCGCTGGAGTTCTTGTGGCAGCGGATTTCGCCATCATGGAGGAACTCGTACCCTGGAAAACCTGGTCTTCAGTGGCCCTCGACTAACGCCTGGTGGATTTGCTGGTCCCGTTCACCTCCATCAGCAGCTCTGTGTGGTATCATCATGTTCTCGGCGTTACCTGCCTGGCGAGCTCTGACTCGTTTATTTGTCTTCTTACCTGTGGAACATCGCGATCGCTCATTGTAGCATCAGCTTTTGGTGGGACATGGCATGTTGTATTTCCTGGGACTAGCACATGTTGCGTTTCGCCTTCTCCTTCGGTGGACCAATTCTACAAGGCACAGTGAAAGGCAATTCTTTGCCGAGGAAAAGCACAACTACTGTAACTGTTCAATGTTGCGGTGCAATTCCCAGTGCAAATAATAAAGCAAACTATTTCCACTGGAGTATGCACACTATCGTAAAAGCACAAGATTGACACGAACGGAAACGAGAATGGTTTGACACTGCATGCCGGGAGAAGCGAGGAAAGGACAGGTCCTACCAAAATATCACGAACATCGGCTCTAAAACTACGAGAAAAGGAGTACAACTCAGGTTCTTTCTCTTCTCTGTTCTGTTTGGATGCGTGGGATGTACACGATCGGTACTTTCCCGGGGTCACGCGACTCACATGCACCAAACCCGCCCTCGCACGACGCTTTTTTTGTCGATCCTGCATGCCTACTGACTGTGACTCTGTGAGCCTACTGATTATTGTGTACTTAAAACCAACCAACCAACCAGCCAAGCTTGCAAGTGTTTAGTCTTTAATTATTTATGACATCGCAGCCATTTTGAACTGGCCACGCACACTGCTCGTGAAGTGCAGCCAATCACATGTACAAAAATATGTGCACAGCTCTGGAATACCGTACTGGCAATATTATGTTGCCGCGTAACGCGTAACGCAGGGGGGTGCGGCGTAACGCGCGGCCAGGCTAGTGCGACAAATTTTCGTTGAGTTCGTAACGCGCGTCCGGCGGGGTGCGGCGATCTTTTCATTGCAGTTTGCACTGCAAAAAAAAGGCTGAAAACTGTGAAAGCACGTGTACCGCGTGGTGAAAAGTAATTTTTGGAGGAAGCGCTCTTCCCCTATGTCACTTTCCTTTTGATGATCTTTTTGTGAACAGATCACTCTGATAGTTAAAATATACAGTCTTCTATTGATATCGTTGTCGCCCTTTGCTGTCGGGTTTGTAACAGTTGGATAGCAACTGAATTTCTGTGCCTTCAATGTGGATGAAAAGAAAAAAATTAATGATGCAGCAAAAGCAAAAAAATGATGCGGCAATAGCAAAAAAAGGACTGCGGCAATATAGAAACCTTTGTAACGGTTCCTGTGCGACTTTGCATGTAACGCCCTGCGTGCGGCAAACATGTGCCAATGTAACGCTTCATGGCCTCACTGCGGCAACATATATTGCCAGTACGGTACTAGTAAGTAGTATTGAAAAATCAGTCGATGCATGGGTTTGATTCGTGGGCCACATCTGACATCACTGAAAGCTGTCACAGCCGACCCTCGGCCATTGCAAGGGGGCGAAGGCGTTGGTCGGGCGATGATACGCTGAGCGTGCTCCTCTAATATACTCAATAATGCCGCATTTCATGGCACTCGTTGATGGAATGATGTAGGATACATGCAACAAATGCCGTTTATTATTATTTATTTTTTTAATTTTACTATTTTTTTTTTCGGCAACGCAGATGATTATTATTCTTTATTTCCACGATGGCCCATGGCCAATAAGGAAGATAATATGATTCAAATCAGTCCAGAATCACATAAAATCAGTCTAGCAAGTAAGGAAACCAACACATTGCAGGGGGATGGGGTCACGATGGGGTACATTGTGAGCTACTACAGGAGCATATGGATGATAGAATGAGGCTAGACGCCATTGATTTAAACGCATGCTTGCTATTTGTTTCACGCAGGTCGGGGGGGGGGGGTAGTTGGTTGAAATTGTGAAGGGATAGGTTGATGGGTGAGTTGGTGTGTCGGTATGTGTGTGATGTTCTCAATGTGTATGTTCTCATGTGTCGTAGTGCATATGGCTGCTGGTGTTTCGCTAGGCTTCTGCCGCACGCAGTCCCCGTAATGGGCCGTATACCAAGCTCACACCCGACGGAGTCACTCACAACACAAAAGACTTTATGGTTGATTAGAAGTAGAACGCCATGTCACGAACCGACTATTTCGTTCTAAAAAACTACATGTGCAAAGGAAACTCTCTGGAAACCAAAAGGCAGCGCAGCCAAACAAAGGTACAGCTAAAAACCTCATGCCGCACGCACAAGAACACAACAACCAAAAAGGCTACACGGTGCCAAGGCTGGCTCAGCGAAACCGACCGCAGCGGAACCTAAATGGTAGCCCGCTGTACAAATTCGATATTACATCAGGCATCAAGGTGCCCCCAAGGGGAGCACATGAAGACAGTAAGATGCCAGGAGATAAAGGTCAAATCACAGAGAACAGACAGCATGACCGCAATGGCAATCAGGAAGAGAAAGCAGATCGTAACTGAACATGACATGAACGTGTAGACTGAACTCCGTGGCATTCTTGCCATGCCATTCTCCCCTTCCTGATGTGTCTACGGAGAGATACATCACCAACACTCGAAGCGGAAAAATGAAAGAAAAACAGAAAAGATTGCCTGAGTTGCTAGTGCTCAAGCAAACAGAAACAAAAAAACAAAAAATCAAAAAAAAGATGATAGGCAACGGAACAAGAAATGAAAACAACATGAAAGAACATGTGCGAAGCAAGAGAGAAGCAAGAGAGAAGCAAGAGAGTGAACAGACATGACCATACTTCAATGGCGATGGTCCAATGCTGTTGCTACTCAGTAACTCACTGATATGCTTCCAGCGGGCAGATCTTGCTTATTGGGCGACGTAGCGTGGTGTTCTTCACCTTTACGTCCACGACTCGTACCAGCCCGTCACGTCCTGGGTGAACATCGACAACTCGTCCCAGCTGCCACTGACCACGTGGTGTGTCTTTGGCGAGTAGGATAACGACATCACCGACTTGCACGTTGTTGTAGGGTTTCTTCCATTTGGCACGACCACTCAGCATGGGCAGCCATTCTTGCATCCATCTTGCCCAGAAATGTCTGACCAGCTCCTGGACTCGTCTCCAGCGTCTCCTCAGGCTAGCTGCTGGGTCATCACCGGGTACATCAATACTGTGGCTCGCGTCGCCTAGCAGCAAGTCACTTGGAGAGATAGGAGTACAGTCTCTGGCATCTGAAGTTACCGTTGTCAAGGGCCGACTGTTGATCAGGTGTTCTGCTCCAATCGTTGCCGTCACTAACTCCTCATCTGTGATGTCACCTGACTTCAGAATGGCGTACAGTGCTCGTTTGGCAGCCTTCACCATGACCTCAAATGGTCCTCCGAAGTGCGGTGCTGCGGGTGGGTTGAAGTGCCACTGAATCCGTTGACCGTTGGTTGCCTTGATGATCTTCTTCTCGTCCAGTTCACTTCTCAACTCGCGTAGCTCGGTTACTGCACCAACAAAGTTCGTGCCATTGTCAGTGAGCACCTCGTGTGGGGCGCCACGTCGTCCGACCATTCGGAAGAAGCAGTTCAGAAAGCTTCCAGTATCAAGACCATACGCTACTTCGATGTGGATAGCGCGTGTGGCAAGACAGGTGAAGATGCACAGCCATCTCTTTGCCTGCGCTCGGCGTCCCTGCTTGGTGTACATCGGTCCTGCAAAGTCGATTCCAACCCTTTCAAACGCACGGGTGCCGGGTTCAATCCGGAGTGTTGGCAGTGGCGCCATGAGCTGCTTAGCAGGCTTGGCCTTTCGGCGTTGGCATTCAGGACATTGACGATCCACTTCCTTGACTGCTTCGCGTGCACCGACAACCCAGAACCGCTTTACTAACTCGTTCAGAACTTGATTGTTGCCGAGTGCGTGATGACCTTTGCCATGGATCCGCGTGATCACAAGCTTAGTCGTTGGATGCGTCCTGGGAAGGATGATCGGTGAGATCGTGTCAGAGGGCAAGAAGTCCGCGTACTGAAGACGACTCCTTGCACGCAGCAAACCACTGTCATCTAACTGTGGATGGAGTGCTGCAATCTTGCTCTGGGAACTCACAGGTTGTCCCTTCTTGATGGCCTTGATCTCATCTCGGAACTCAGACTCTTGCGCTGATTTCACCAGCATCAACTCAGACTCGCTCAATTCGTCCACTGTCAATTCACCCAGTTCGCGGCGTTCGTGTGGCGCGCGAGCGTTGTGAAGAAATCTCATCACCCACGCTTGCACACGAATCAAGCGCTCCAAATCAGAGTATCGCTGCGGTTCCAGTCGCCAAACACTGGGCTCTGTTGCGCCTGTGCCCTCATCATCAGTACCCGTCTCAGTGCTGCTCATCAGAACGGTCTCCTTCATGGACTTTGTTTCCTTTGCTTGGGCTGTAGGTAACTGTCGTACTGGCCAGTCATCAGACGGCTTGGCCATGAAGCTAGGACCGGTCCACCACATACTGTCCGGCGTGAGCGATGTTGGGGCGCATCCTCTCGACACAATATCAGCCGGGTGCTCTGCCGTAGGGACATACCGCCATTGATCTGGGCTGCTTGCCTGGTGAATCGTGCTCACTCTGTTGGCAACGAACGTCTTGAACAAGCGACTCCGGCCACGGATCCACCAGATCACGTCCATACTGTCAGTCCAGTAGATGATGTTCTGCGGGTTGATCTGCAACACCTTGGCTACTTCGTTGGCCATTTCGACTCCCAGCACAGCAGCCATCAATTCGAGCCGTGGGATGCTTGTGGCGGTAGTTGGCGAAACTCGTGACTTAGCAGACACAAATACGGTGCTGATCTCGCCGGAGGCGTAGCGGATACGTTGGTAGATGACGGCACCATACGCTAACTCTGATGCGTCGCCAAATACGTGAAGCTCGACATCTTGCGGTGTAGCGCCTGCAATGGCCTGCAAGCAGCGTGGCACTTGAATTGAGCTCAGTGCAAGGAGATCCTGGAACCACTGTCTACAACGTGAGCTCAGTTCGACGGGAAGCACTTCGTCCCAAGTTGCACCGCTAGCCCAGATCTCTTGCATCAGTATCTTGGCACGGATGATCACTGGTGCCAGAAATCCTAGCGGGTCGAAGATCGTCGCGATCTTTCGGAGGATGTTCCTCTTCGTCATCATCATATCGTCAGGTGGTATGACAGCCTGAAAGCTGAACATGTCGCTGTCGCTCAACCAACTGATCCCTAGAGTCTTAATCTGGGATGGGCCGTCTCCGTTCAGGCTGAGTTGCGTTGCCTGATCTTCTCTGGGTATGTGACCCAACAGCTCCGGAGCATTCGACAGCCACTTCCTCACTGCCATGCCTGCTCCCTTCCATGCTGCTGTCACACTCTTGTACAGGGCCACACCCTCGGCAATCGTAGAGACTGAGTCCATACCGTCGTCCATGTAAGTTGATTCGAGCATCATCTCGGCTGCACGGGCGAATTCTGGATCTAGTGTCTTAGCGTGCTCTCGCGCGACCAGTTGCGCTAAGAACGGGGAGCAGTTCAGACCGAATACCACCCGGTTGAATTCGTACACGTCTGGAGCCGACTGCAAGTCTGTATTCCACAGGAATCTCAGATATGGCCGATCTGATTTTCTGACTTCAACCTGTAGATACATCTCCGTAACATCACAGCCAATGCAGATCGGATGCCGCCGAAACCTGAGCAGAACAGCCGATAGATCACGTTGTAACTTCGGACCGGTGTGCAGCAGGTCGTTGAGGGCGGTGCCATCATGCTTAGCTGACCCGTCGAACACAATGCGAACTTTCGTCGTACTTTTGTCCAGTCGGACAACCGGGAAGTGTGGAAGGAGCCACGATCCTGCTTCACGTGGGTTTGCATTCACCTTCACCACGTACCCTTTTCTCACGTAACTCTCAATGGTTTCTGCATAGCGCTCTGCAATTTCTGGGACCCGTTTCAGCCTCTTCTGTGTTTGCGCAAGTCTCTTCGCTGCCATGTCGTAATTGTTGGTGGGCCGTGATGCATCTGCCCGCCATGGCATCCCGACACAGTAGCGACCATTGGTGAACGTCATTCGTTTCTTTGTCGCTGTCAGGACGTCCAGGTTTTCCGGTGACATGGGGTGTTCTGGGCTGGTCACTTGCTCAATTTCCCAGAACTGTCGCAAAGTCTTATCCACACTCAGGAGGGTCTCGCTGCTGGCGATGTTAGCGCTGCAGCAGTGGTTTGTGCCCCCGCCACGGCTAACCTCTGCTCCGACGCAGGTCCATCCGAGAGGTGTGAGACGCGCGATGGGCTCTCCGGCTGGTCCAGACACTTCATACAACGCACGATGAAGCTCGGCATTGTCGACGCCAATGAGCAGCTCGATCCTTTCAGGGGTGGCCGGTTCCAGAAACGGTATATCAGCCAAGTGCTCATAGCCAATCTTCTTGCTACTCCAGTCCGTTAGCTGCAGACGTCCTGTTACCTGGTTGGGAGTTGTGAGTCCGACTACGGTTGTCCGTGATTGACCGTTAATATTGGCGATATCGAACTCCACGTCCATGGATTTGAAAGTGCTCCGCTTTCCATTCAGCATATTGATAGTCATGTCATGCTGCTCACCACTCATTCCTAGCGCTGTGGCAACGTCTTCATGGATGAAGGTGTTGGTACTTCCGTCGTCCAGAAGCGCATTGACGACGAGCCGCTTACTACCGGACCTGAGAACGACAGGCACAGTGCGTAAACTGGTGTAGCTCGTCTCGGCTGTTGCATTGCTGCATTGCTGGGGGGACTCCCCTTCCGTTGGAGTCTCATGCGCTGTTGCGACGCCACAGTGTCCTTGTTCAGCCTTGGTGTTTGCTTTGTCATAACTCCTTTCCTTGCCATCGGCTCTCGGCTTCTTCCTGATCTCAAAATCTGATCGTGCCAAGCCGTGTAGTAGACGATGATGATTCCATTGGCAACCATCGACACCACAAGTGCGAGTTCGAGGACACTTGTCGCCTCTGTGCCCTGTTCCCAGGCAGCGATAGCACAGGCTTAATTCCTTTGCTCTTGTCCACCGTTGGCCTGTGTCGTGTCCTTTGAAGGTGGAGCATTCCCAAATGCCATGGCTCCCGCTGCATTCTGGACAAGTGGCGCGAGAGGATATGAAAGAAGTCTCCTCGTCTCGTGCCGTCTGTCCGTCTGCCAAGTGTGTATGAGCGTTGCGCTGCTGCAACGAGCGATGGCTACTTGGCCGGGATGATGCCGACTTCTGGATACCGTCTACTATCTCCGTTGCCGTAGTCTGGAATTCAGCCTCCAGTGTCACCCATTTCAACAATGATAACACATCCTCGGTTTGCTGGTGCTCGTACAACCAACGTTGGTACTGAGCCACCATCTGCTTCGTCAGCTTGCTCAGGAGACGGGAGAAGAATGTGCCGTTCTGTAGCTCCATGTGGCGACCTGCATCTTTGAGGTTCACTACGGCAATCTCGAGCAAATCTGCAAACTTCTCCAGTGCTTGCGGGTTGTAGCGCTGTATCGGCTGGAATGCTTCCAATGTTTCCAGCTGTATAGCCACCTGACGTCGTTGTCCGCCGAATTTTCTTTCAAGCCGCTCCAGGGATATCCTGTATGCCTCTGCGGTGTAGCCAAGCTGCTCTATTGCTCTGAGTGCCTCACCAGTAACATACTGCCGAAGCTGTAGAAGCTTAAGTTGTCGAGAGACGGGTGCAGTTTCAATGCATGCCATAAAGGCGGCCTTCCAGGTCTCGTACATCCGCACATCTCCGCTGAAGGTCGGAACAGCTACTTTCTTCAGCCTTCCAAAGACATCACTGCTGGGCAACCCAGTGCCGTACACAGGTGCTCTGCTGCTTACTGGTTGAGCTGCAGGCCGGAACGCAGGGGCCTGAAAGTTGAGGCTAGCTCCAGGATGTCCTGGAAAAGATCCAACACTCAACACAGACTTGCCTACATGACCACTGCTTGGGCCTGCAAGTCTGGCATGAATGCTAGCAAGGCTAGATGGCTGACTGGTACTAGATTTGACCAGAGAAACATGGTCCTTCACAGGTACAGCTTGTCCAGAACTAGGTATGGGTCTAGTCACACTTGAGCTTGTGACAGGTACATGCTGTGCAGTGGTAGTACAAGACGTGATACTAGACTGTACACTGTGACTTGAACTGGGGAGGCTGGTGACAGACTCAGTGGTGTGTGCAGGGGGAAGGCTATTCTCCGTTTGATCAGCTCCTTGCTCACCCGGTTTTGGACTGGTGTTGGTCTCTTCAGCTGCTGTGTCCTTGCTGTCATCAGTACTAAAGCCTCTCGGCGTCCTCCGTGACGGTGATCTTTCCAGTAGCAGTCCAGTCCTGCGATCTGTTTCCATGGTCAGCGCACTCAGTTCACTCTGCATTTGTCGTAAACCGACTCCACTAGTTGATCTACTGCCTTGGCGTAGTCCGAATTCATCCACACCCAGTAAAGGAAACGACTCCCCTCGTTCAAACTGGCTCTGTGCTGCTTGAGCCTGTCCATACTGCTTCGCTCTTGCAGTCCACAACTCTACAAACTCGTCGTATCTGTCAATTGCCGTCTGCACATCGCGATCGACTTCCTCCATTTCCTCCAAAGTCCGTATCACGTTCCTTTTATCGTTTACGAATTCATATTTTCTTTTCAGCTCGGAAAGCACTGCTGTTACTGCTTGCTCACAGCAGCACAGCTCATCGTAAAGGTGTCCTGCACCCACAGCGTCGACCTCATTGTCGCGCATTCCTATCGTCAACCCACGTCGGGTATTCGTTAGATTGCGTTTCAGTTGTATCTTATCACTTTTCAGCTTCATGATCAGGCTCTCCATGCCTTCCGTAGGTTCACCAGAATCAGCGCCATCCTCTCCGGTCGGCTCTGACATCGATGCCGCCGTCGCTGTCTCAGTCTCAGCACTATATTCTCCGCATGCACTACTTTTCTCTCGTTCTTCCTCCATGGTTGGAACTATTTTTGAAATCCAACCTCGTAACTAAAATAATTAATTTCTTCGATCGAAACGTGTATCAACTATCAAACCATCCTCTGCTACAAAATGGTGTTTCGCTAGGCTTCTGCCGCACGCAGTCCCCGTAATGGGCCGTATACCAAGCTCACACCCGACGGAGTCACTCACAACACAAAAGACTTTATGGTTGATTAGAAGTAGAACGCCATGTCACGAACCGACTATTTCGTTCTAAAAAACTACATGTGCAAAGGAAAACTCTCTGGAAACCAAAAGGCAGCGCAGCCAAACAAAGGTACAGCTAAAAACCTCATGCCGCACGCACAAGAACACAACAACCAAAAAGGCTACACGGTGCCAAGGCTGGCTCAGCGAAACCGACCGCAGCGGAACCTAAATGGTAGCCCGCTGTACAAATTCGATATTACATCAGGCATCAAGGTGCCCCCAAGGGGAGCACATGAAGACAGTAAGATGCCAGGAGATAAAGGTCAAATCACAGAGAACAGACAGCATGACCGCAATGGCAATCAGGAAGAGAAAGCAGATCGTAACTGAACATGACATGAACGTGTAGACTGAACTCCGTGGCATTCTCGCCATGGCAGCTGCTCTGTGATTGGTCGTGCAAGGTGAGGCTGTTGCAGGTGAAGGGGAGCGCGGATGTACTTGATGTTGTGAGTAACCTGTCGTAAGAGTTGCCGGGAGACTAATGTGGGGAGTTGGAGATGATGAAGAAGTGAGCTGTGATGGACTGGTGCAAACAGGGGGATCCGCAGGCAGATACGGGCTGCTCGTCGCTGAACGCGTTCTAATTGGTCCTTCTGTGTGCGGGTGGTGTTGGATAACACGAGACTGCCGTACTCTATAACCGGGCGAATGTAGGCGGTGTAGATTACGAGCAGACTGGGGGTGTTAAGTTGGCCTCGTGTTTTACGAAGTTGGTGAAGGAGTTTTTTGGATTTGTTTATTATGTGCGTGACATGCGAGTTCCATTGGAGGTTGTTTTGTAGTATGATTCCAAGGTGACGGTGTTCTTTGACTTGCTTTAGGGGTGTGCCATTAAGAGTGATGTTGAGTTGGTGGTTTGGTGTGAACGACAAGGTAACGGTCTTTGAGGCATTGACGAGGAGGTGCCATCTGCGCAGCCAGGTTGCGGCAGCTGAAACGGCTGACTGCAGGGACAACTCCGATGTCAAACGGCTCTGGTGTGTTGCGATGAGCGCCGTGTCATCTGCAAATTGGCTGCACTTTGTGTTCGAGTTGGTGCAGGCAGAGGGCAGGTCAATGGTGTAGATCAAGAACAGCAGGGGGCCTAGAACGGATCCTTGGGGCACCCCTGCTGGTATGGCTTGCCACTCACTGAAGGCGTCGCCGACACGAACACGTTGACGGCGATGGGTGAGGTAGCTGACCATCCATTGCAGGGCGGTATCTTTCAGGCCGAGGTGTTGCAGTTTCTTGAGGAGACCGGCGTGCCAGACTCTGTCGAAAGCCTTCGAGAGATCAAAAAAGCAAGCTGTGACGGAAAGACCTTTATCTCGGCTCTCGGAAACCTCGTGCACGAGTCTGGCGAGCTGGAGTTCGGTGCTATCATTGGCACGAAAACCGGATTGATCCACTGGGAGGAAGGGTGTGACGTGCTTGTAGAGTCGCTTGTGGACGATCCTCTCCTGCACTTTACTGATAACGCTGAGAAGTGATATAGGCCTGTAGTTTGTTACCAATGACCTTTCGGCTTTCTTGTATAGTGGGCTCACAGTGGCATCACGCCAGTCCTGTGGTTGTTCGCCTCTCCGAAATGACTCATTGAAAAGTCGGGAGAGTGACGGCGACAGCTCACGCGCCGTGGTCTTGAGGAGTCTTGTTGGGATGTCGTCAAACCCAGGGGCTTTGCAAGGATTAAGGGCTCCTAGGAGCTGTTCTACCTCGGCGGGTGTGGTGGTGATTTGGGCAAGCTCTCTCTCGCCGGATGTTGGTAGAAGGATGTCGGGGACTGGCTCGTTGTCAACTGAGACGGACTTCTTGCTTTCTGAAATGAAGAAGCTGTTGAATGCTTCTGCCTGCTCTAAGTTCGATGTGAGCTTCCTGCCATCATGGTTCAAAGCTGGCATTTCCTTTCTTGGTGAAATTCGAAGGGTCTTCATAAGTTTGTAGAGGTTTGGGTGGTTTGTATGGGTTTGGTCACAGTGGTTGTCGGCATTGGCTGATTTATGAACGAATTTGGACTTGGCGCTGCGGAGAAGAGTTGTTGTCTTGTTTCGCTGAGTTGTGAACTGGTCCCAGTCTTCAGCCATCCGTGTCCGGAGGTATTTCCTGTATAACCTGTGCTTTGTACGGATATTATTTAGCAGATCAGGCGTCATCCATGGGCGTTTTTGAGACACTGCAGATGATCTAGTCAACCGGAGTTGAGTGCAGAACTGGTGTGCGGTGCGAAGCAGGGTGTCACGCCAGAGCGACCACAGTTCGGTCAGCGAATATGACGGCAAGTCAATGTCGGGTGGCAGGAGTTGAGTATACGCTAGCGCTTCTCTCAGGGCGCCAACGTTCTCTGAATTCCAGTTCCAGGCCCAAGGTGGCAGGTTACGTCTGCCACGCTCATCTGCTGGTGGCTGCATGGAGATAGTTCCCTGGATTGCTACGTGATCTGAACGCCCAAACGGTGCTCTGGAAGAAAGTGTGACCTCCTCCGGAGGGAGATTGGAGATGACTAGATCGAGGCACGAATTTAGATAGCCTCGGCAGATGTGGGTGGGCCAAGTTTACATGCTGATGGAAACCATATGCATCGATAAGATAGCTAAGTGCGTCACCAGCTCTGTCTGTGACATCAGAATGCAACCAAGAGCTGTTCTTGGAATTTAGGTCGCCGAGGAGGATGAATGGCGCTGTGGTGTTACATTTCCCGAGACACAATTCAAGTTCGCGGCAGAATAAATTCGGATCAGAGTTTGGTGGTCGATACGTGCATCCCACGGTGACTGTACGATCTGAGAGTGTAAGCTCTACCCACAGTGACTGGAAGCTTGGCATGACGACTGTTGTTAGGCGTTTGTGGCAGGTAGGGGCATGTATGTATAAAGCAACACCTCCACCCATCGTTTCTGTTCTGTCCTGTCTGTAGAGTGTGTAATCTGGAATGTCATAGAATGAGTCTGGCTCCATGGGGTTTGCCCATGTTTCGCAGACAGCAATTAGTGTGGGCGTGATGCGTGTGATAGTGGGTATGAGCTCGTCAATTTTGTTGCACAAGCTCCTAGCATTAAATGTTAAAAAACTCATTCCTAGGAAAATTAGGTAAAGAAATACAACATGCTGGAGCCGAAAGAAGACATAGGACAAAAGTATAATATTGTGCAAGAAGGCGAAAATGGTGTAAGTGCGAGGGTATTATTACAGTACAACACGTTCCGTTCTGTGTGAGTGGATATCTTGCACTCACCTAGGACTGTCTGGGTTTGCCCTTTTTCAATTTCTTCTTGTTTCTGGGTGCATTGGCAGTGGCCCCGCAAGGTCTTTCAGGTGTGACACTGCTTCGAGGGCGTTTGGAGCTATGCACTTGAAAACCGTCTGAGTCCGTGTCAGAGTCGCTGCCGGACTTGGTGAGCCGGCCTTGTGACATTGACTGTGCGAGGTCACCAATTGCCTTAGCTGGCAGCTGGAGCTGTGTTTGCGAATCTTGTTGTAGGTTGAACGGTCTGGGCGGTGATTGGTTGAAGTCAGGTAATGGGAGTTCCTCAGGTTCTGATGAGCAAGCTGATGCAGCCTGATTTTCATCCGTGCTGCGACCTGGGACTTCCTTGTGAGGGCGAGAGAGTGTGCTCTGCCCATTCCAGGCTCCAGCTGTACGTTGGGTAGCGTCCTTGGTGGTGTTATCGGCTGATACGGTGGGATTTTGTTCCTGTTGTTGTTGAGCAGTCGAAGACCCTGCAGTGTTTTGGGGTGGGGATACGGTAGTCCCTTGTACAGGGCGCATACCACGCTCCGAGAGATTTCCTTGTTTGGTAGTGCAGTGCTTCGCAATATGCTCCGTAGAGTCGCATATCCTGCACGTGGGCGTTTGGCCTTGGTGGTACACCCGGAAAGTGCCTTTTCCGTCACGGGTTCTGATGTAGCTGGGGATGGTTTTGCCTGCTGAGGGCTTGAATGTGCCAAACCGTACCCCAGACGCGACGTGTACACCTTCGCGTACCGTGATGCGCCCATGCCTGATGTGACCCTGTACGTCACCGTACGGGGAGAGAGCAGCAACAATGGCGGCATCTGCAACCCAAATGGGAACGTCATGGATGTGCAGCTGCAAGTTTCTGTTTACTACGGAAATAGGAAAAAATGTGATTTCTTTTGAATATGAATCCATTTGCACAGATTTGTTGGGCTAATTGTTCACAAACGAAGGTAAGGCGGCACTGGCCGGCAGTGCTTACCTGGATCGACAGGACTTCTTCAGGACGGATGCCGTGCTGCTCCAAACACTTAATGTAGTCGACAAGTTTGACTTCTTTCTCCGCTGAGAATGTGACGGTCCGAGCCTTGAGCTCCGTGGCTGTCAGGTGCCTCCAGGGGTCCTGCCCTCTGGTGTCCTGGTCCTGAGACATGTCCGGTGGGAGGACACCCTCCCCGGACATCTCAGACAGCTATAAAAAACTTTCCAGGCGGAGCTCCGAAAATGTCTACTGACACATATACATGTACACGCTGCTATGCACGATGATGATGATGACATGCAACAGGCTACTGGCACTGTGTAAACTAGTAAAGTGGTGGTACACAGCAGGAACGGGTGTACTAGGTTGCTGTCACTGCATTTCTGCTCCTTTTTTGGTGGTTTTAGCGCAAGAACTCTCCAGTTTTAAGTTGCGATATTAGCAACTTTTGAGGTTTTTCTGAAAATATGGATGCGATTTCAGCAACTAGCACTTGTTTTGGCACGGTTGCGAAAAGCATACGTTGCGAAAAATTATAGCATCTTTGGGAAAGGGCTAGAT